CTGACCATTTTTTGTGAGATCGCCACCCTACCCATCATCCTCTTGTCAATTCTGGCGCACCCCCTATTCCTCAGGAGTCAGGACTATCACCTCACCATCTCAGAGGTTGACTTGGACCAGACAGCGGTTCTAAGGACCAGGGCTAGGCAGACGAGCACTGGAATGGAAGCTTCCCAGGAGGTCACCCAGCAGTGTCACTGGTACTATTCCAGCTCACACCTTACCCAGCCCCGGCTGAAGCATGATCGGACAAGCCTTGTCCCCCAGGTACTTTGGATGCCAGGCTCAAGCAGTGTTTCCATCGACCCCACCTACTACCCTAATCCTACCGAGCATATCACTGACCATATCTGATAGCCCCCCAAGCCCAGATCAAGTCTATGACACCCCTAGCAGAGACCGGGTACCCCTTCCTGGCTTGTATGTATGCCCGTTGGTTGTGCGTGTGTGCGTGTAAGCTATGTATGTGCCTGTAGGCTGAGTATGTGCTCGTGAGCTGTATCTGTGTAAGAGTTTTGCAGTTCCGCGTGTATGTGCCCATAGGTCATGTATGTATGCCCGTAGGTTGTGCGTGTGCGCCCGTAAGCTATGTATGTTCCTGTAGGCTGTGTATGTGCTCGTAAGCTGCACCTGTGTAAGAGTTTTGCAGTTCCGCGTATGATAGGCCTATCTGTACTAGAACCCCCCCACAAAGTCCCAAGCCAGACTTGAAACCGATGCTCATCATCATGTAACAATTGTGTCTCAAACGATACCAATGTGCGATATGCCAGACTGGTGAGATCATCAGAACAACCTATGACCAACGTCCCTGGGCAACTCACTCATAGTCAAGCCCCAACGTACAACAATCCTGGACTAAATCCCTTGGGCGGTGCAGGCAGTGTCTTGATCCTTACCGTTCAACAACCCAAGGGATTAGTTTGTACAGCGGTCCCGGCCGTTGGTCAACGCCCACCGGTGTCCATGTGCGAGGCTTAACGGTTTTTGAACCCACAACCTTAAGCCACAATGTGCATTTCCAACGGGTGCTCTACCCACTGAGCTAATCGGCTGCACTCGGAGTTCACAGCCCTATGGGTACGGTACAGTGGGTTCCCACGTTTCTAACACATAAAAAACAACCCTTAAGAATCTACCACAATTATCACAGGGAAGTAAGAGAGCCTTGGGTGCTTGGCTAACATCAGCGGGTGAAATTCGTACAATGCTCTTCGCTAAGAATCCCCGTGGTTTGCGTCATCGCGGATGCTACGTGAATTCGCACATGCGTCATCAGTTAGAGGCGTGTAGCCCTTAGGGAAGACTGCACAAAGTCACATATTGACAGGCTATATGGGCGCCTGATCACCAGACCACCTATATGCGAATTCTTGCACCTTTTGCTAAAAAGTAAAAGTTATGAGACCGGTAAAACAACAAAATTAAGCAGACTGTTTACAACACCAAATTTCGATGTTTTTTTTCCGGTTTTTCCACGCCACACACTATCCCTGTACTATTAACAACATAAGAAAAACCCCTGGCTAGCCTACCTCTGGCACGACATGTAAAAGCCGCCACATGTGGGTCAGTAGCTATGTGACGCCCTAACCGCACGCCCAGCGCGACTTCCTAATCGGAGTGGGATGTGGGCCTGGACGTGCGAAAAGGGGTGTGCCAAGGATTTTTGGGGAAAGTGGGGGAGTCTTAGGGGTATGAATGCAATTAGGCTAATAACGGGCGCATGCACAAGGG